ATATATATATTAATAGATATATATATATATATAGATATATATATATATATATATATATCTATATATATATTATATATATATATATATATATATATATATATATATATATATATATATATATATATATTATATATATGTCGTACCTAGTAGCCAGAACTCACTTCTCAGCCTACTATTCAAGGCCCGATTTGCCTAATAAGCCAAGTTTTCCTGAATTAATATATTTACTATAATTTTTTTCTTATGAAATGATAAAGCAACCCTTTTCTCTATGTATGAGGTCAATTTTTTTTATTGGAGTTAAAATTAACGTAGATATATGACCGAACCTAACCAACCCTACCTAACCTAACCTAACCTATATTTATAGGTAAGGTTAGGGTAGGTAGCCAAAAAAAGCTAGGTTAGGTTAGGTTAGGTAGGTTAGGTAGACGAAAAAAAACATTAATTCATGAAAACTTGGCTTATTAGGCAAATCGGGCCTTGAATAGTAGGCTGAGAAGTGCGTTCTGGCTATTAGGTACGACATATTGTTATGATCTCAGCACAGGAGAACGAGTCTCCCTTCTTGAGGTTATTCAGCAAGCCTGACCCGATTAGAAGGTCTAGCAAAATGAGTAATAACGCATATGTAAAATAGTTTGTTGGATATGTGTAACAGTTTGAGATTATGGGCAATGCAGAAGAAAATAGATAAATGACTGGCTAGGAGATGTGGACATTTTGCTGGAGGCTTGAGGCTCGCTTCTGGAGGACTTGACCTCACTTGAGTGCCAGACATCGCAGGGGGAAAGCCGCGCTCCGTTGAGCTCCCGTCAGAAGGGAACCCTAGTGATATATCTCTAAGAGAAGAGAATGTGCAGACGTGCCAGCTGTGGAATCGAGATGGGGACGTGTGGTCTCAAGTCGTGGACGATAATTAGTGAATATAAGCCGCCCGGAGGCATTATTGTGGGCTGTGTGGAGCGCCCTGACCAGACGCCGTCAGAGGAAAAGGCGCCCTCGACCAGTTAATCTGTGGTAAGCACGATATACGCCAGTTCATAGTGATTGCATTGTAGTGGTCGTGTGCCCAGCGACAGTGTAGCGATGTTTATTATAAGGTTAGACATGGTTTAATAAGGCAGAGGCCTGAATAGGAGAGTGAAGAGGGAGGAACACGGAGCGACGTCCGTCCTCTCTGAGCGCTGGCGGACGACTGGGGAGCCTGGCTCCGGATGGAGGAAGACCCTCCCAGCGAGTGAGGGACCGCCACAGGCGCGGGTGGAGTATGGACCCGCCCAAACACGGGGAGTCCACTCTCACTGTATGTAGACACGATAGAGGTTTGAGGCAAAACATATTGTGTGAATATTTTTTGGTTATGTGTTAAGGGGAACATTTTATTGGAGGTGTCGATGGGTTGCAGGTTTGTCTTTTGGGGAAGAAAGTGCTGGAGCCTTCGAAGCCAGCAGATGAAGTAGCTGATGAGACTCCAAGGTAGGGAGCAGAGGACCTCGAGCTGTGAGGAGAAGCAGCAGTGAAGAGGGTGTCACGTGCTTCTGTAGAGGTGGTGTAGCAGCCAAGAGAGCTGTGGAAGAACCTAACAGAAGGGTGAAGCACCGTAGTTGCTCAAGGAAACTTCATGATAGCAGCTGGAGGAGCTGCAGAGGATCCTGTAGTGAAGCCCGGAAGAACCTAAAGAAATAGGGGTAGTAACTTCCAGAGGTGGAAGGGGGGAAGTTCTGGTGGATTACTAGTAGGAGTGTTTGATAGTGTTTGGTTGTCATTAGCGTGCAAGACGCAGTGAGAGGTGAGTGACTGTTGGCATTCTGCGTCAAGGAGTTTTTTTATACTGAAGTATCAATGAATTTTATACTGGTATATGTTATTGCATTCAAAGCTGGTTTCTCTATATATATATGTTATCTTGCTGATGGTGAACAGTGTGTAGGCTTGACCAACTTGAGGAAGTTAATAGTATCAGGTGGTGAACCAGGAGGTAGGATACCCTTGATAAGTGATAATAGAGTTCTGATGGTATTGGAGTGCAACCTGATTGTGATATTATAGAGTATAGGATTCATTATATTATATGTGTGTATGTATCGGTATGGCTTTGTTCAGTAAATGTGTCACAATTTGCGGTGTTTGCCCTTGTCCTAGTGAGGCTTCCAGGAGGGTAGTAAAGAAGGAGAGAGAGAGAGGAGAAAGAACCATGAACCACTGCTGTGGACAGGTAGGAGGTGGTAATACTAGTAAGTCATAGGGGGATTGAGGAGATCATATCTCATAAGGAGAGAGTGGGGGAGTCACAGCGGCTCGAGTGGGTGTGTGCACGTGACGACGAGGCTAAGTGTTGGAGCCGCATCCCCTGAACGTGTGACGTTGAGCCCCTCTCCAAGAGCCAGAAGCGCCAAGGGTGATCTCCTAGTATAAGCACTCTACCGAGTTGTGGGTTGGGTTGTCCGTAGAGGAGGATCAACGACGACTACACCAACCAACCCACAGTCTATAATAATATATATATATATATATACACACACACACACACACACACACAATTAGGCTAAGGTTCCGCCCCAGGATGCAATCCCACTGCAAACTGCCTTAACTCTTGAGTACTTATTTACTGCTAAGCAGACAGAGGCATTAGGTGATGGGAAAGAGGCCTAACCATTTATCTTCTGGCCAAGATTTGAATCAAACTGTTAAATATAAACCTACTATAGATAGACTACCTATAATAAAATGTAAAACATTAAAACATAGAACTGAAATTTTAAAATGTTTTTTTCATGAACAAATAGTAATTTACTGCATTTAAGATGCATGTAATAATTTGTCTCACTAGACCTAGTGTAAATATGATAAGGTAATAATAATAAATATGCAAATAATCTATGCAATATAAGAATATGCAAAAAGTTGCAAATTATCTAATGAGTAGGTCTACAGCATCTGGGTTCAGAATAATGGTTATTTAAGATTATGTATGGTTAGGTTAGCTTTACCTGTGATTAGGCTGGTTTAATAAGAATTCTTTGTTTGATTAGGCTTGGTTTGTTTGTTGATTAAGCTAGGACTGGTTAGGCCTGGGTTGGTTTTATCATGTGTGATAGATTACATGTGGGCTTTAACTGTAGCACTGCCTGACTTAGATGTCATTATCCAGTCTCTACAGTGCACTTCCAAATCTGAACACAGCAACTAGTTGTACCTTTGTTTTATAAAAATGCAGGTAGGTCTATACAAAAGGCTGTCGGCTTCTATGTCAAAATCCTAAAATGATAATTAAGCTATGTTTGATCTACATTACCCGAGGGGCCACTAATACTAGTGGCCTCGAAAAGGGCAGGAAGCCGGTGGCTTGTCAAAGGTCCCCCCCCAATTTGCCCTGATGCCTTTACGTGCATAATCTATATGGGTCCTATTATGGCAAGCCATCCATCAAGCCATCTTATGATGGCAAGCCAAGTTGGGTCACAGCCAATATATCTACTGTATATAGCACATATCTCTATGTGGTGCATGTTGCACAATAAATTAATTCACTTTAACTATACAGTCTTGGTTAATAGATTAGGGTAATTTACCTCGAGTTAGTTTAATTTTTGACTCCCAATCAAGAATCCTGGGTTTGATTCCCAGACAGGATAGAAATAGCTGGGCACATTTCCGTTCACCCAATACCAAATAAGTACCCGGGATTAGTCAACTGTCCTGGGAAGGGTCAGTAGTTTGACCTTGAGAGGAGGAAGGGGGGGGGGCAGAACCTTGATACCAGTCTAAGTATATATATTATATATATACACAGGCTTCCTGTCCCTGACAATAAATTAAACAATACATTATGGGGATGCATGAGCCTGCATAGAATTAAACATTAATTAATCTACCTTTACATTATTAAAATAAATTAAATTTAAATTTATTATAAATTAAATTTTTAGGCAAAAAACCATTAATTACACCTTTATAATCTCTCCTAGTTTTGCCCATCTACATAACCATGGTAAGAGAGTTCTAGCATTACAATTAGATAATTGTAACAATTATCAATTGTTACAATTACAAACAATTTGTAATTGTAAATTACAATTATATAACAATTCAAGCCATTAACAGAACTGATTAACAAATTTTATGTATCAAACTGATATATAAAATTTGAAATGCAACAATTAGATCCCATATATGAATTTCACATTTATTCATTTATTTATATACAAGAAGGTACCCTGGGTTGTGAGAGAACATAGTATCGGTGTTCTTACACTCTTGCTAATCCACACTAAATATGCATAACATTCCAGGCAGAAAAGCAATTGAATGCATCAGCATTGAAACCCCAGAGACACATGGTTTACATTTTGTTGGGGGGGACATGAAGCCTGTTAATTAAGTTTATTAAGAGCCCCATAATCAACCAGCTGCAAGCCACAACAGTTGACTAACTCTTGGTACATATACAGCAAGGAAACTGATTACACTGCCACCAATTGCTGAGGGCAAGTTTACAAGATGCTAGAGGCATCGAATACATGGAGGGAAAAAATAAAAAGCGTCCAGAATGCTACCCACAATAGTTGAAAGTAAACGAGCACAAACATTAAATGTCATCCTACCGCTGAATTGAACCCGGGACCAGCCGGTTATGAGCCAACAGTGTTAAATATATAAAAGTACCATCAATATACGTTAATATATATATCCAAGATATGAATATCCTGAGACTGACGATAACTCTAAGCTAACGTAAGCTTTTAAGGGTTGATAGATGTTAATCTTCTTGTTTAAGGAGCTGTTCACTTGAGACAGTTAAGGAAGTCCCAGCTGTGTCTGGGTACAAGTGACATGATGAACAACCCAGCGGGTTTTCTTCCTATTGGGGAGTGTTGTACATGCTGCTATGGCGGTGTGTCCACTCACAGGATGAGTGGCGCTGCCCAATAAACCCGCCCCTCGGGGCAAAATTTAAATTTAACTATAAGCACCTCGCTCCAAAGGTGACGGCATACCTCAAGGTGACAGTCCTCCGCCCACAGAAGACGTCCCCTGCCGGAGATGTCCACTGTGTGTGTCCAGGGGTGTGGGGTGAGAGACACACGGTGCTGGAGACGACCCAGGATCAAGGAGACCGTGCAGAGAAGTGTACCTGACACCGTCAGTACAGGGAGGAGCGGTGGACTGGACGGGAACTGTTCGTGTGAGGTGGTGGGGGGGGGGGGGTGCTGGAGGGGGGAGCTGCTGACAGGCAGACAGGCAAGGCCATGCACACTCTTATCGCTCCACACACACCATTGTCTCCTTGTTGGTCTACTAGTTTATACACCACCATATACATATATACATTTATATATATATATATATATATACACATTATATATATATATATATATATATATATATATATATATATATATATATATATATATATATATATATGTCGTACCTAGTAGCCAGAACTCACTTCTCAGCCTACTATTCAAGGCCAGATTTGCCTAGTAAGCCAAGTTTTCCTGAATTAATATATTTACTATAATTTTTTTCTTATGAAATGATAAAGCAACCCTTTTCTCTATGTATGAGGTCAATTTTATTTTATTGGAGTTAAAATTAACGTAGATATATGACCGAACCTAACCAACCCTACCTAACCTAACCTAACCTATATTTATAGGTAAGGTTAGGTTAGGTAGCCAAAAAAAGCTAGGTTAGGTTAGGTTAGGTAGGTTAGGTAGACGAAAAAACATTAATTCATGAAAACTTGGCTTATTAGGCAAATCGGGCCTTGAATAGTAGGCTGAGAAGTGCGTTCTGGCTATTAGGTACGACATATATATATATATATATATATATATATATATATATATGTCGTACCTAGTAGCCAGAACTCACTTCTCAGCCTACTATTCAAGGCCCGATTTGCCTAATAAGCCAAGTTTTCCAGAATTAATATATTTACTATAATTTTTTCTTATGAAATGATAAAGCTACCCTTTTCACTATGTATGAGGTCATTTTTTTTTTATTGGAGTTAAAATTAACGTAGATATATGACCGAACCTAACCAACCCTACCTAACCTAACCTAACCTATATATATAGGTAAGGTTAGGTTAGGTAGCCAAAAAAGCTAGGTTAGGTTAGGTTAGGTAGGTTAGGTAGACGAAAAAACATTAATTCATGAAAACTTGGCATATTAGGCAAATCGGGCCTTGCATAGTAGGCTGAGAAGTGAGTTCTGGCTACTAGGTACGACATATATATATATAATTGTATATATATATATATATATATATGTCGTACCTAGTAGCCAGAACTCACTTTTTGGCCTACTATTCAAGGCCCGATTTGCCTAATAAGCCAAGTTTTCATGAATTAATTGTTTTTCGACTACCTAACCTACCTAACCTAACCTAACCTAACTTTTTCGGCTACCTAACCAAACGTAACCTATAAAGATAGGTTAGGTTAGGTTAGGTAGGGTTGGTTAGGTTCGGTCATATATCTACGTTAATTTTAACTCCAATAAAAAAAATTGACCACATACATAATGAAATGGGTAGCTTTATCATTTCATAAGAAAAAAATTAGAAAAAATATATTAATTCAGGAAAACTTGGCTTATTAGGCAAATCGGGCCTTGAATAGTAGGCCAAAAAGTGAGTTCTGGCTACTAGGTACGACATATATATATATATATATATATATATATATATATATATATATGTCAATTTTTCTTTCATCTTTTATTTTTTTCATGCTATGTAACTGTTATCATTTTTATCAATTTTGCAAGTATTTATCTACTTACCAGTTTCTTAGATTAAGGACCTGCCCGAAACGCTGCACATACTAGTGGCTTTACAAGAATGTAATTACTATGCTGAATATCCTCACAATCCCAATGAACCTTCTTGTATATATATAAATAAATAAATAAATAAATATAGTGTAGTAAAATACTGTAGTATAGTATCTAGGAATTGTAACTAACTATTAGACCTATATTGTACTCTTATTTGAGTGACCTGTTGTGGTCCTCAGTTGACTGGTCCTCAACAGATCAGCTGTGACTCCCATCACCACAGGTCGGTGCAATGTGCTTTCTTATTTTTCCGGTTGAAGTAGTCCTAGTTGATTCATGCAATTTGCCTGTTTTTTATAACGAGTGCATAAACTGTATGTATATGGCATGGTATTACTGCAGGATGTAACTGTGCTGGAATTATTTGACGAATAAAGCCACAAGTTTGGTATTCTGTGTTGTGCTTCTTGAAGCGCTTGATCTCTTCTTGCTATGAGGACTAAATCATGGGCATAGCTAATGAGGTTTGTATGTGGTGGCAGCCTCATATTCAAATTCAAATGTTTATTCAGGTAAAGTACATACATACAAGGTGTGATACAAATATTGATGAATTTATAGATAGAGCTAGTACATACAAAGCCTAAAGCCACTATTACGCTAAGCGTTTCGGGCAGGAAAAACACTAAAGACTAAAACTTAATACTAATTGAGATTAGAGTATAAAATGTGTTGAGAAAATATAAAAACAACAAAGGGGAGAACATGGCAGAAAAACAGCAATAAAATACAATTTGGTCGACAAACAGCATTGTTTAAAAATAGCAGACATGGGTTGACATTATAGGGGTAAGGTAGGTTACAGGGAGTTAATTAGGTAGTGCTTAGTTTTTATCTTAAACACGACACGCTTTTTATCTTAAACAAATATCGACACGCTTTTCCCATCAAGATGTTGAATAGAGTTGAACTGAAAACTCCTCCTCCTTGCGGTGATATTTTCTAGAGACTTGTGTGGGGAAAGGTTTCCTCAGTCTAATTCTGATTTGTTTTTGAATCAATGAGTAACCATGCATCAAGCTAAGTTAATAATTAATTACCCCTCTGACTGCTGTTGGTACAAAGGTCGGATCTAAACGGCTTCCTTTAATGTGAGTTGGCTCTTTTGGGTTGAAATGAATATCTGGTATTTCTTTCAGTGTTAACCATGTGTTCCTCTGGACGTTTGTGTAGCCTAAACTTTTGCCAGCTGGGAAACCTTATATTTTTGTGCATTTTTCTTTGTATTTATTTATATGTACAAGAGTTCTTACACTCTTGTACTATTAGGTACAACTATATCATCTATATATTACATCATCTAGGTATAATATAGTGCTATAGTGTAGCGCCTAAATCATCTAAGCATTATACTTTATCATCATAATGCCTTAAGAGAGTTTCCTGCAACAATACAATGTTAATGTTATCTCTCTGTAAGCTTTCGTGTAAAGGAGGATGTTGTGCATGAGATCTTGGGCAAGTGTCCTGTCTGTATGTTCTATTATTATTGCGTCTTGAATATCTTCTGTTGGTACTATCGTAGTTGCTGCATGTACCATCTGTGTGTTCTGCTGTAGTGTCTCCTGCAGAATTCGATAGTTAGTGTATCTGGTGGGGTTCCTGTTGTTATTTCAGTTGGTAGGGGAATATTGTGAGGCAGATTGTGTGTCTGGGTTTTCATTTGTGAATTGATCGTGTCATGGTTAAAATGCTCTGGAGTGTGTGTGTGTGGGTGGGTATTGTAGGGGGTATGGGTAATTGTGGGTAGACGGGTGTGTTCGTTCCAGGGTGGGTGGTAGACTAGTGTGTAGGTCCCAGGGTGGACGGGTGAGTGGTGGTCCCGGCCCACGAGATGGGTATAGGATGAACAAAAAATAAATGAAATAAAAAGGAGGTGAGCGGTAGAGTTGTTAACGTGTTAGTTCAAAGTCAACGGCTTAGTGGACCTGCGCATGTCATAACATGATGCAATACTTGCTCGTTGCCCATTCTTAAGTAACCATTTATATTTTGTATGAACATTTAGTTACATCTGCATTTATGCAGCTACCCCCTGGACTATGTGAAGGCTTACATAGTGATGTTAAAAAAATCCCCATCTCACAGGAAGTCTAGTCGCACAAGGCCATGTGATAATTAAGTAGCCTACATTTCCTTACCTTGTGGTTACCTTGCAATGATTTAGGGGCTTAGCGGATCCTAGGGATCAATTTGCTTAAATTGTTAACTTCTCGGTGGATATTGTACACATTTAACTGAAATTGTATAGTTTATAAACATGTCCATTGAGATGGTCAAGAACTCTTGGAGATCACAATCAGACCAGGGTTGTTGATGGAGCCTAGTCGGTTATTTTAAAAGTAGAACATTTGGGACGGAATCCAAGAGCTAAAGCAGTACCAAAGCACCTGACATCAAAGGCTGAAGGGTGAACCTATTAGATTAGACTCAGGAGCAGAAGCATAAGTTTCTTTCACCCTGAATGCCCCTGTTACCTAGCAGTAAATAGGTACCTGGTAGTTAGTCAGCTGTCACGAGCTGCTTCCTGGGGTGTGTGTGTGTGTGGTGTGGAAAAAAAAGTAGTTAGTAAACAGTTGATTGACAGTTGAGAGGCGGGCCGAAAGAGCAAAGCTCAAGCCACGCAAACACAACTAGGTGAATACAACTTGTTAAACAACTGCAATACGATGTTGTGGATTACAGAAATCAATGTTGCAAGGCAACCGTGGATTCCAACCCCCCCCCACCCCACCTCACCCTAACTCCACTGAAAAGTAAGGAAACTGGCCGAGTGCACTTGAGCACACACACATAAATGCCTTCAAGCGTCAAACTTCCTGCACTCGACTCCTCAGCCTTAGGTAGAGTTAGAAACTTGTCAACACAACAAGCGTTTCAGAATCTTCTTTGTATGGATCTCGTCTCGCATAATAATAATAATAATAATAATAATAATAATAATAATAATAATAATAATAATAATAATAATAATAATGATAATACTAATAATAATGTTTATTCAGGTAAAAGTACATACATACAAAATGAGTTAAAAACAAAATGTTGGATTTCAAGATAGAGCTAGTACATAGAAAGCCACTAATACGCAACAGAAACACTTACACTAAAACTTAAAACTAATTGACATCAAAAGCATAAATTAAATTGAAAAAAAGGCAAAAAAAAAAGAACAAAGAATGATAATAATTACATGATAGATGGAACAGCGGAAATTGAAACAGAACAACAGAAGTAATTTTAACGAAATAAACAGAAGACTACAATTTTCTTCAAGTTTATACATGGCGGATACTGAGTTTTTCTCTTAAACTGGTTGAGAGATGGGGGCAGGTTTTTGACATTATTGG